TCGGTAAATGGAAGTACTATGCTCAATAAAATAGTTGTCCAGTTAGTCAAATTTCCACTAATTTTTGTGGGAGTTTGTTTGGAGAGTTTGGGTGTGAGTAGTTATCTTTCTTGATATTGATATTCTGTGCTTTCCAATGAGATTGAAAATCAATTAAATTTTGTAAAATTTTATAAAATTTTTTTATATGCTTTATTGAAGGAGAAGGTTAATCTTAATGCCACACTTGAAATATTTAATATCTCTATTATTTTCAGTAGTTTCAATAAAAAAAAAAACTTTGTAACTAAGTATCACTAAAAGTAATACATACAACGTATGATGCATGAATAAAACGAATCAACCCGTATGTTATTATTATGCTAGGATTCAAGAACTGCACACGAATTCCGTTCAAGAAGTAAACAAATTTAATATACAACATATGTCAGATGTAATTCATTCATGTGTACATAATATGTAATCTAAAAGAATTTGTTGATATAAATATCAGCCATATATAAAGTGTGAGGAAACTTACCTATTTTCTTGATGCGATCATCACTTCTAATGGTTTTAATTTTGCTAAAAGCAAAAGTATAGAAATAGTGGGGAGGGAAAAAGGTATAGTAAACATTTTTGTAAACCCAAGTAACTATCTATATCTATATGTATTGCAAGAGAGGTTTTAGTGGAGGCCTGTTGAATGGCTTCCAAATCTCCCATACTTTTTTCTAGATTTTTCATTTAGTTTAATACATAAATTCAATTAAAAAGTTTGAAATAGTGTGATTTACAAGTACTCCGATAACAATTCAAATTTAAAATTTAAAACTTTCTTTCCCACTTCAAATGAGTGCTTAATAAATCATTTATAGTTTGTTTTTAGATTTTGACCACTTTTTCCTTCCATAAATAAAGAAAATAAATTTGGATAATTTGATTAGTCCCATATTAAAATCATTCACCCCATTACAATTTTATTACTTTAGCCCATTTTATTCCTTGATTAATAAATATTGATTTGTCCAATCTAAGGAATAATCTGATTAGTTCCATTTTTTAATCATTTATATTGTAATATTTTTATCATTTATATAGTAACATTTTTAGCACTTTCCTTCCAGGTATATACATAGATTTGTCAAATATTTCAAATAACATATCCAATTATAACCATTCTTCAAACATTTTATCTATTGCAACTAAATTAATTTTTTTAGCCTTAAACTTAGCCTATTAGATGATTATTCCAACTAATGAAATAAACATTTTGACATACAACGTCATCTAGATAATTTTTGAAATGCTCAGACCTTCATTTGGATAATTTTGCATATGGCGCGGCGCGTACATCAGAAAGTGCACATAAAACAAAATTTTTATATGAATTTTAAATTAATAAAAGGGGCATTTAGATGGTTATTTTTTGGAATGTTTATCAAAAATTTTAAAACAAATATTTGATAAAACAATTATCCTGGGTGATTATCACAAAAAATAGTAGTATTTCACCAAAGTTACACCCAATTACTTTTCCTTGATGACTATAATTCTAACTCTTTATTTGAAAAAAAAAAGCCACTTGAAAAGTAAGATAATAAACCCTAAATAATAAAAAGAATAGAAAGATTGGATTATAGGGTAGGAAAGGGTAAAAGAAAGGTATTGAATCTTAAATAGTAAAAGAAGCATAAAGATAAGAGTATAGAATTGGGGAGAGTAAAGTCAAGGAAGCTGTGTTGTGAGTTGGGATGAAATTATCAAAATGAGCTATTTATGTGGATCAAATAGATATTAGTTTTACATGATTTTGGTTATCTTATCCATTTACAATCCACTATAAAATTTTACTTATTTTTTCTCCCATATTCTTTGAATAACAAAATAAGATATCATTGTAATCAACAAAAATAAGAACACATTGCATTAATAAATAAATTTTTACCTAAAAAATAAAAAAAAAAGTTACACAGAAGAACCAATAGTGGTGATCATAAGGAGTTTCAAATTTGTCCCTATATAAGAATCTCAAAATAATTTAGGTGTGAATGCAAGAAATCAATTAACTCTTAATGAGTTAATTAAAATTTTAATGGAATGGGAAGAAGTAAGATAAAATTTAACAAAAATTAAAAAAATAAAGAATAAGAAAATAATGTTAAATATGCCTTTGCAAAAGGTAGAATATAATTATTGAATTTGTAGTGATTTAAATTTACTTACTAATGAATTTGAATCTACGTCTAATTTAATTAAGTCTAAATAGGTAGTCCCAATCTATCTATTTAATAGCCACTTATTAATGAATTTTAATTGGATTACCCATTTGAAGTTAATAAAATGGTATACCCATACTCATTTGTTAAAGAAAAAATTGAAAATTTGGTCATTATTTACAACTATATATGTAGAGTAACAGGACAGAAGATAAATAAGTTGTAAAATTGGGTAAGAGATCGTATAACTTGATAGAAGCAGGGTAGGATGAAGAAAATATAGAATTTGTGAGAGAGAGAAGAGTTGCAGGGATGTGGGCAGTTTGGATTAGCAAGGTAAGGAAGAGAATAATGAAGAGTATAGGAATATTAACAGGAAGTGGCGCAGAAAATGACAACATAGAAGGGAGGGGTAACAATTTGTGATTACTGTGCTTTCGGTATTTCTTTAGATATTTTTTACCTTTATTCATATTTTTTAATATACGTTAAGGTTTTAAATAAAGTACATAAATACAATATAAATTAGATACTAAAATAGCACTCTTTTAATTTTTTAACCTTTTTTCATGTAACTAATATAAATAATTCATTTACTATTTTAATTATATTAAACATAAATCCGTGCATAGCACAGGTTGCAATGCTAGTTTAAGTAGTATTTGTAATTCCAAACTACATCTTGACATCCTTAAGTTAAATTCCATTGTTATTACTGCTCTTCCAGTATCTTCTCTCAACCTCCAATCACTAACTGCCATCTTTCGCTTCTTCTCACTATCCCTTAGCATTCCTTGCAGGAAAGTCATATTTCACTCATTTCGCACATTCGTGTGCTCTATCCATAGACTCTTTTAGTGACATCTAAGCTCAATGTCACACACATATCTAATAAAATTATGTTCAATTCCTATATAGTAAGTTGTTGAATTGAACGTATTCAGCTCTACCAAGTGAACTATCTATCTTTCCACCTTGTGGACCTCTTTATTTGTGTTTTTTTATTTTTTTAATTCTTTTCTATTTTTTTTAGTAACAATTAGCTCCCTTCCTTTTTTTTTTTTTACTTCCTTATTTATAGTAACTTTTAATCAACTTATTAATTTCTGCTTTATATATATGCATGTCAATTATGTCTTACTAAATCTTTTTTATCAATCAACTTATAGTTTTCCTTCTTTCAAATCTTTCAACAAATTATACGTAGTCTTGTTCAAGTAACGGATTAAGAACTGATTATGCTAACATTTGCATCAGTCTCGAAAGTTTGACAATAAATCCTATGGTATGTCAGCGTCTTCATGATGGCCTGTTCTAGAATACCTGTTTCAACTTCATCTGTCTCATCATGTCCAAAGCTGTCTTTACCACAATTATCAGTACATGGCTCTAGCTTTGAATCTTTTTTTATCATTTATATCATCAATATTTGTGTTCCTTGATTACTCATGCTTTCAATTGACCAAAGGATTTGACAACTACTGCTACCCTGCCGAATATGTTGCCCCACGATACAGACGACTATTAGTGACAACTGTTCTTAACAGTGTAATATTTTTAAATAAAATATAATTTTATATGAATTATTTGTAAAGCTTTATAATAGACATGTAATTGTTATGAATGAGATATACATAAATCAATAATAGAATATATTACATCTCAACTATAAAAATGTATAAATAATTTATTTAAAATTAAAATATTCAAAAAATATTACACTATTCAGGAATATTTTGCAAGGACTATTTTTTTATACTGTTTGGGAACTATTTAAAATTATAGTATTTGAAAAAATTACACTGTCTCGTGTCCCATTCAAATGTATTTTGTTGGGTGACTTACGTGAGGAGCAGTAGACTAAACTATTTGTGAATGGCAAGGTAAATTTTGTAGTTTATTCAACAAATAAAAGAGAGGTATGGAAAGATAAAAGAAACAGCATAGAAGCAGGCACGTTACAGCTCACATGTACGGAGGATGAAAGAAATATTTTTTAAAAAAGCAAGTTTTGACCGATTATAGGCGCAGGCGATTTGAAAATATTGATAGGCCCAATGACCGTGAGGCGTACTGCGGAAGGTGGCAATGTATTGGGGTGTGAGGGAATTCACATAAGTAAAATGGGCCTAGGATTAAAACACCGTAGAGGATAAGAAGTACTAAACACAGCCATGCTGGGGCCAGCAGTAGTATGTGTTTGAAAAGAAGTGGTGAGCTCAGAGGTGAAGAAACAATTTGGTAAAGAAGAAGGCAAAGCGAAATACATAGGCGGGGTGGCGGTAGGGTAACTTCAAGCGGAGTGGTCAAGGTAGATATAGCTGAGCAAGGACGTTCCAAGGTTGTACTGACTGAATGAGCCGGTGTAGTACAAAAGCAGAGAAATCAAAGGTGAGGTGTAGTACAAAAGCAGAGAAATCAAAGGTGAGTACTCTCGTCCATAACTTTGAAATAGTAAAAGGGAAGGATTAATAATAGAAAACTGATTAAAATAACGAGTAAAACACGCAACCTCTAGTATGATGAAGGTTACATTTGTTGTAAGACCTTCCGTTGAAACACATAAACATGGCAATGATAGAGAAATAAGGATTACGAAATATTACAACTAAAACCTAGTGCCTTTGAACAAAAAGGAAATGATATAGGAAAATTATCCCTGTTTATTTGTTCACCTAACATTGTGTAGCCTTCGGCAAGTCTAGCACCTCTAAAAAAATGTTTAGCGACCATCGTTAGAAAAAACATTGAACCACACGCGCGCAGCATCCATTTGGAAGGATTGTTTTTCAAACTTGTGACATGGTGAAGGAAACACAGGGTGGAAGGCTAAGGATGGATGGTGGTGGCAAAAGAAAGTCATTTGACGTTGACCTGGAACCTGAGTGTGATAGAGATATAGACAGCCCAGAAAGCGGTGGTTCAAGTGGAGGACATCAAGATGAGAAGGCAGAAGAATTGTTAGGTGCAATAGACATGGATGATGTAATGAAATTAACATTTGACACGGAAGAAGAAGCTGGGGAATTCTATAATTTGTATGCAAAACTAAGCGGATTTAAAATTCGTAAAAGTAATGGCAAACGAGATGCAGATGGCATTTCAAAGTTTCGAAAATGGGTATGTTATTGTGAAGGATACAGGGATGAAAAGTGGTTTAAGTATGAAGACTGGAAAAAGGAAGCAAAACCAATTACAAGAACTGGGAATGGGGCTTGCTTTCGCGTGAAATATGACATAGAATCGCTAAACTATGTGGTGACATCGTTCATTGTGGAGCACAATCACCCGCTGGCATCAGAGGCAAGTGTGTAACACATTAGGTCTAATAGAAAAGTCATTGATGCAGAGTATGCACAAGCCAAAAGTTTGAAGATGGTTGGAGCTAGAATCTGTCAGATAATGAAATATTTTGTTATCAAAGCCGGAGGGTACAGTAACGTGGGATTTTGCATTAAGGATCTATATAATCGAATGGATGAGGAACGTAGAAAAGATATTTTTAATGGCTATGTAGAAGGGGCACTTGGGTTCTTGGCAACGAAGAAGGATGTTGATGACATGTTCTTTTATAAATATCATGTGGATAACGAAGGAAGATTGGCAAGGTTGGTTTGGGCAGATTCTAAATCCCAAGTGGACTTCAGTACATTTGGAGATGTGTTGGAGTTTGATATGACATACAAAACAAATAAATACCGTAAGCCACTAGTTGTATTTGCAGGAGTAAACAACCATTTGAACAGTACTATTTTTGGATGTGCACTGCTATCAGATGAGAGGATTGAAACATACGAATGGGTCCTAAGTACATTGATAGAGGCTATGGATGATAGAAAGCCAGTAGTAGTGATGACAGATGAGGACAGTACAATGCAAAGAGCCATAAAGAATCTTTTCCCCGACCCTTGTCATAGGCTATATTCGTGGCACTTGCATAGAAATGCATCGAGTAATATTCTGTGTAAAGAGTTCAATGACAGGTTTGTATAACCTGATGGCAAAAAAGTGTAGCATACAGGAGTTTGAGGATCGGTGGACTAGCTTTAGTTAATGAATGTGGGATGGAAGAATGACTGGGTGAAAAAGTTGTATCACAGGAGAAAGTTATGGGCAGAGGCCTATTTATGTGGGCAGTTTTTCACAATTATGAGAAGTACTCAAAGGTGTGAGAAAATGAATACTTTTTTGAACGAGTACTTGAATAATAAAATGCGGCTATATGAATTCGTTAGAAGTTTTGATTTGGCAATAACATGGCTTTGACATACTGAGAGCAAAGCAATTCACACAAACGAAAACACAAAACTAGTGTTAACCACAATTCTGCCCAAACTGGAGAGCAGCGCAGCAGAGGTGTTTACAAGGAATGTATTCTTCATGGTAAGGAAGCATTTGAATAGGCAAGGGTTTCTAATTTTCGAGGGTTGGAACGAGGAGGGAGAAAGTTGCACATATTATTACTCAAAATATTGTGGACAGAAAATAAGTTGGAGGGTCGATTATGATAGGTTCACAGAGAAGCTAACCTGCTCTTGCATGAAATTCGAGTCAAAGGGAATTCTTTATGCTCATATGTTTCACGTGATGGTGGTAGAAGGAATGAACAGGATCCCAGAATCATACATTTCAAATTGGTGGACAAAGGGAGTGAAAAATAATAATGAGATATAGCATTTGTTGCACCCGAACAAATGACACAAATGGCCAGATATGGCACTTTAAAGTCCAGCTATAATAGTATCTGTTATTATGCCTCTTACATGGATGATGAATTTAATGAACGGCAGCAGATGTTTGACAAGCATTCAGTAGAGCTGAAGGAAAAATGGATTGATAGAGGATTTGTGGGAGACGGGTTTGTAATGGATTCAAGAGTAAGGACCGATAGAAGTAGAAGAACATTCAGAGTGTTAGACCCGAGGGTATCTCGGGCTGAAGGTGATCACAAGCAAGTAGAAACAAAGAAGAAAAGAAAGTGCGGACATTGCAAGTAGTAACGAAAAAGTACGTAGTTATACACATGTTATTTGATATAAAACATGAACCGGATCTTGAAAGTAATAATGAAAAAGTAGGTAGTTTTTGACATGTTATTATGTGCATTAAAACATAAACTTAAATCCAAAGTCCATACAAAGTAAACTAAGTTAATGGCAATGCATAAAAAGTTGAAGTGGTGTAATGTTAGCGTTTTGACAGCTTAGTTGATGTGATTACTTGCAGCCACAAATGATTTAATATGTAATGAATTGGTTTAAGATTGCAGGCTGGCCACAACCAACGAACATGGCCAAACAAAAAAAATTGCCACAATACAGCGGCACATCGTGATTGGATGAAAAATTGTTTGGATAAATCATTGAAAAATTCATTTGGAATTGATATGGGCGGGACCGAGACTGGCGAATGGTGACGACAAGCATTTGTGGCAGAACGATGCAGTAGCGGTGGAAGTGACACAGGTGGCCAACAAAGAAGTTTAGGAGAAAGAGAAATCATGTGTTGAGATGCTAAGTTTTGAAAAAGTTGTTAATTCGTCATGAATTACATAGTTCATTGATATTAATATTACTGATAACCTCTCCACTGTGTATGCAGGATGAACTTGAGAGGGGAAACGAATTCGTCAATGCAATTGGGGAGATGACCAAAATGGAACAGTCCATATTTAAAAACATGGATGCGGGTACAGGGTGGTCGGTATGAAGACAGAAAGAGTGACATTAAGCCAAAGAAGTAATTTTGTTTGTAGTTAGGGATGTATCAGACACATAGGTGTAGTTTGGTGAACAAAGGCCTTAATATATATTGAAGAATGGATGTTGCATCAAACACATGGGAAATTGTAGAAGTGGAACGGTTTATATATTAGATATCAATTTGTTTTGAGCGTGAGCAAGCCAAATGGTATTCGATAATTTGGAATCGCTGTCATAGCTTGTTATGGTGCTAAATAATATTTTTTACGTTAACATTCAAGTGGAAATAATGTAAGTTTTTTGTGTGATGGACATTAAAACTGGGGTAATGGTTGTTGTAGTTTGCAAAGATAGACATGCGGATTATAGAAAAATGGAGACATACAAAAAATGTTTCGGTTTATAGGATATAGTTTTAATAACAAATTAAAAATCAATTACTATACTTGTTTATTGTTATGTTTTTATTTCAGTTCACATAACAATTGTTTAGAGTATTTGTTTGTTATATGATATATAACAAGCTGATTTTCTTATAAATAGTTGAGTCTTTCTATCATAATTATTGGTTTATAGGTGCTTCAATTGTTGAATTATTGGATTAGTACATTTGATGATATAAGGTAGATGTATTTGTAATAAGAAAGAGTTTATGATGAGATATTATGAATCAAATGAGCAAATAGATGATATTTAAGAAATAGTAATCCTATATTATTACAAAGTGTGCTGTAAGTATTTTTGCATTCAAAGGGAACATTGGCTAGTTGAATGAGAGATGGGGAAAAAGAAGATAATAAAGCGACAAATAAATAGGAGAAAACGGAAAAAATGAGAAAAAAAATCAATAGTTTATAAAAAAGGAAAAAATGGTTCGAAAATAACGATAGTGTTGTGCAAACATATAATTCAAGGGAGGAAAAAGATTATTATTATAGTTCAAGAGATAAACTACAATTAGGTATATAGTTCTTGGGGATTTTATTGTATTTAACCCCAACAATTAACGTTAGACACAGTGTATTCTGGTGCAAAAACTAAAATTATTATAAAAAGTGGTCTTGACACAACGAATAGGCATGGTAATAACAAAAATGTATGATAAAAAATTAGTTTAAATGTTAAGCCCCTGTCGGAGGTACTTGACAATATGAGAGAATATGTGTTTAATAAATAGTTGACAATTTATTTTTTATAATAGCCAAATTTGTTTCCAAACCTTTTAATAAATGAAAATTAAAGAGTACGCAACATTGGATAAATATGGCTCCATAACAAGCTTATATAATTATTGTGTACATGCTGCGATTTTAATTTGCATACTAATGAATTTGATTTTACGTCTAATTGAATTAATTTTAAATAGGTAGTCCAAATCAAATAGCCACAATTTTATTGGTTTTATTCAGTTACCCATTTGAAACTAATAACATCGCAGACCCATTTGGATTAGCATGTTGAAGAAGAGAGCAATGAAATGTGGACGGGAAGTGCTGCATGAACAGAGAATGTAAAAAGGAAGGTTAATAATATTCAAATTTGATAATAAATTATAATATTAATTCTATTACTATTATTATTATATTAAAGGTAAATCCACCAACCGCACACATAAATTAGGTATTTGGGCAAAATCTTATAAATAGGTTTATCCAGACAAAATATACTCTAACTGCACACAAAAGTGAATTTATTATTACATCAAAATTATCTCTATTATTTTACAAATTCAACTTGTATACGTGTATAAGGGATATTTATCGAATTAACATTTGAGGTATATTTATGGGTTAATTCCACTTTGTCCCCCCAAATTTTGGACGATTATCCACTTCAGTTCCTAAACTTCAAAATGGGACACTTAAGTCCTTAAACTTATAAATACCTCTCACTTAAGTCCTTAAACTTATAAAATGGGACACTTAAATCCCTAAACCCTTATAAAATGGGACACTTCGACCACCAACGGCATTCAAGATTTGTTAATAATTTTTCTTAAGTGAGAGGTATTTATAAGTTTAGGGACTTAAGTGTCCTATTTTGAAATTTAGGGATTGAAGTGGGTAATCGTTCAAAGTTTGGGGGACAAAGTGGTATTAACCCTATTTATATACTCCCATTTTTTCACTTCACTCCCCCATGTAAAGTAATCTTTTTAATGTTTGTTTTTTCTATGGACTTAAATTTGTAATACAAACCTCTTTATCTTTGGAGATTTTTATAGTTTTGCAAATATTAGGGAAGGCGGTATGAAAATGTCAGAAACCTGTAGGAGGTTTCTACAATTACTATAATTTTTTAATTAGCCAAAGCAAAAGACAAGCAAATGCAACTTGTAAGCAATCCATTCTGATTCATGAAAAAATAAGGGATTATAGTGCAAATAAATAAATAAATCCAGCTTGTCCCTGGTGTTCTTTTCATTGATGAAGTGCACATGCTTGACATAGAGTGCTTTTCTTTCCTAAACTGTGCTCTGGAGAATGATATGGCACCTATCTTGATTGTTGCTACAAACAGAGGCATTACTACCATCCGTGGCACTAACTACAAATCTCCACATGGGATTCCAATTGATTTTCTTGATCGACTGCTTATAATCTCCACGCAACCGTACACTGAAGAAGATATAAGAAAAATTCTGGACATCAAGTGCCAAGAGAAAGACGTAGAAATGTCCGAAGATGTAAAGGTTTTACTTACAAAGATAGGGGTTGATACATCATTGAGGTATGCCATACACCTAATTACGGCTGCTGCTTTGGCTTGCCAAAAGAGGAACGGTAAGATTGTAGAGATGGAAGATATCAGTCAAGTGTATGAGCTGTTTTATGATGTGGAAAAATCGCCATTTTCATCCCTAAACTTTTACACTAAAATCAATTTCATCCTTTATGATTTTTTTAGCCAATTTAGTCCTTCGACTATTTTGAAGTCACCAATGTAGGACTTTTGCAGCGGCGACACCACATTTTACATATTCCGTACAACCGGTGATGAGTATGGACCTTTGACCATAGTTCTCCATGCTAAGCCCCAGTTTCAACATCCTATGGATCCTTGAACCAGACTGGTTTGGATCATCAAGGCTGAAACCAGAGGTCAACAAAGCAGTCTCATAAAGCAGCCGCACCAAGTCTCTAATTGATTTGTCATTCTTATCTTCCTCGGCTCTCTTCCTAAGCTCTTTAATGATTCCATTGTCTGGGTTGATCTCCATTGTTTTCTTGCTTGGCATGTAAGTGCTCATACTGGTGTCCCTTAATGCTTCAGCCTTCATAATCCTCTCCATGTTTGTTGTCCAGCCATATTCCCCAGTGACCAAGCAGCAAGGAGAATCAACCATCCTGTCAAAAACCACCACTTTCTCAACTCTCCAAGAATATCCTTTACTTTACAAAGATTCTCAAATGACTTTTTCCTCTCCTCTCTTGCTGCTTTCTCTTCCTCAGACTCATCGAGCTTTAAACCTTCCTTTGTTGCAGAAACAAGTTTTTTACCATCATACTCTTTCAACTGTGCAACAGCATATTCATCAATGGCATCGACCATGAAAAGCACCTCGTATCCTTTCCTTTTAAGCTTTTCCAAGAATGGAGAGTTCTCAACAGCTTTCTTGCTCTTGCCGGTTATATAATATATGTCTTTCTGCCCTTCCTTCATCCTTGTAGCATATTCCTTCAAGCCGGTCAACTCATCCCCACTCTTTGTGAAGTAATACCTAAGAAGATCAACAAGCTTTGCCCTGTTTTGGCTGTCTTCATCAACACCCAATTTGATATTTCTGGAGAAGGCGTCATAGAACTTAGCATAATCCTCTTTGTTCTCTGCAATTTCAAAGAACATCTCAATGCACTTCTTGACAATATTCTTCCAGATGACCTTCAAGATTTTGTTCTGTTGGAGCGTCTCACAAGATATATTTAATGGGAGATCATCCGAATCCACCACACCTTTAACGAATCCAAGGTATTCAGGAATGAGCTCCTCACAATTATCCATGATGAGCACCCTTCTGACATAGAGCTTGATGTTGTTCAACTTCTCCGTGTGTCAAAGAGATCAAAGGGTGCCCTCCTTGGAACAAACAAAATAGCTTTGAACTCTAGCTGTCCTTCAACAGAGAAGTGTTTCATAGCAAGATGATCCTCCCAATCATTTGTCACCTCCTTTATCTTCTTCTTTTCCTTTTATCCTTGTCTTTCTCCTCATCTACTTCTTCAACTTCTTCTTCCTCATCCTTCTTGGTTTCCTCATCTTCATCATCTTGCTCTCTTTCTCAGTTGTCTTCTCAATTTCATCCTGGTGGTTCTTCGCTAACATCCCTCGTCACAGTGAAGGATCCACCTGCTTGAGATTCCCAGACAAATTGTTCATCATCATTGTGCTTGGTCGTCACAACAACCTTCTCAGCAACGAGGTAGGCAGAGTAGAAACCCACACCAAACTGTCCAATCATGCTAACATCAGCTCCAGCCTGCAATGCCTCCACAAGCTCCAGCCCATTTGGAATTAGGATTTTGTTTCTTGATTTGAGTGTGTGAGAGAGAGTTTGTCCAAGTTTCCAACAAATTCAGATGAAATTTTCAGTGAAATTCATCAGAGAAGAAGAAGAACTATGGTCAAAGGTCGTCTAAATTAAAGAATCTAATTTAAAAGAATAAATATACCCATCGCCGATTATATGGAATATGTAAAATATGATGTCGCTGCCGCAAAAGTCCTACATTGGAGACTTTAAAATAGTCGAAGGACTAAATTGACTAAAAAAAATCATCAAGGAGGAAATTGGTTTTAGTGTAAAAGTTTAGGGACGAAAATGGTGATTTTTCCTTATGATGTCAAGAGATCAACTCAATACTTGATGGAATTCCAGAGCCAATATATGTTTAATGAGGTTCCAGCAGCAGTAGGGGATGAAGATGAGGCCAATGCAATGGTTTCTTGAGGCGTTCCTTGTGCTCGTGCAACTTTAAGATAACTTCAAGTTCTTGAATTGTATCTAAGCGCTAAACTTAGAAAAGATTTAGTTGCGGCTTGATTGATTTGTATTTTTGTGAATGGAGATGTACAATTACTTGACAAAAAAATAAATAAATAATCCAGCTTGAAGCCGTTCGTTGTGACAAGCAGGCTTATCTTCGCCTTTGTTTGAGTTTTGATTACAAAAGACAAAACCTATTCCCTCCAACCCCAAATTTTATTTAGAGTCTTCCTCCCTTGCCAGTTAGGGAGCACTGTGTCCTTATATTTGAGACAAATAAAGTGAGGCGGTATAGTTAAAGAGATTAAATTATCGACAATGGCTTCATCCTCGTCTGCAGGCTCGGTCAATAGCACGTTATGGCCGACATTATATTGCCATTGTGGTCGCAGATGTGTAGTTCGTGTTGTGTGGAAGTCGAAAGCAAATAGGGGCCGCTACTACTATCGGTGCGCTAATGCCCAGGTAAGTGAATTGCTATTACTGTTGCGTAGACAATATTCCGATTTCTCATATACTTCTATTGCAGAGGCCTTGTCGTACGTTTATTACCTGGTGTGATAAGTTCGCACGATCAACGGGGTTTTAAGTTCCCGATCTCGCCCCCTCAAATAAGGACCCCGCCATCACTACAGCTGCGGCAGAGGTGTCTCACATCATAGTAGAACTAAAAAGCATGCAAATTAATGTGATGATCTTTAACATTGTTGTGGTTGCTGTTGTGGCGGCACTCGTAGTTCTGGTTTTGAAATTGTGAAGTGCTCTGTTCGTTTTCATTCCATCCCCCCTCCTGTACATTACTCAAATATGGTGTCCTTATATTGAATGGGCATTTAACCTAATTTATAGCCTGTTGGCTTTTGTTTCCTAGTGTTCTGTCATTGACTTTTGTCCCTTCGTCGTCTGTCGGATAGTGGCGCATATGTATTTGGAAAACCAACGAACGGAGTGTGTGTGTGTGTGTGTGTTAATGGTGATATTTGCTTGAAATTACGCGAGAGAATGGGTTTTGTATTCGTTTACATTGTGCATTATATTTCCTGTCTGAAATTCCTGTTACTTTTTCCCCTCAATTGTGTGTGATTATCAATGAATTCAGAATATTAGAATTTGCTTTATTTCGTTTAAATAAGTGTGATTCAGCTCTGAAATTATTTATTGACTGTAAGGCAACGCTATGCTATTAATTGTCCACGTTTGTTTAGCCATACAAGTAAAGAACGTCATCTTGTAAAACCAGTTCTCATATACAACACAATTAGTTGCCTTAACAACTTTGAAATCCGACGAGTTGAATTATGAAACAAGTACTTACTTCTTAATTTATTTTTCAATTTCTTCCCTTTATAATATTACTAAACGGTGCACTTGTAATTTTTCAACATTATATATTATCAGCCCTTAACCCCTACCATTTTTGCTTTAACAAGCACAACCCACCATGGTAAGGTCATTGACACAAAGGTCACGAACAAAAACCAACCCATCGACAAAATATTAGCAAAACAAAAAATTAAAAGCACGCCATTTCAGTTATGAACGTTCACTCAAATCGCTCCACAATAAGACCAAACAAAGGATTAATGGTGGCAACCATAGTGGCGATCTTGAAAAAGCACCGGTATTTTTTGCGCCTCACAGTCAGCAGGAGACTATCAGTTGTATCTCTTTCTTCAAAGGTTATTTTCACAGCTGTTGAATTCCAGTAAATAGTGGCGGCATGCACGTTGTCTGTAATAGCTACATTGCGGGTCATAGTGGCGTGGTAGCCCTGATTAGCCACAAAGCGGGTGACTAACCAATCTTCAAAGTTGATTCCGAACAGTATCCACACATCGATACGCAGTAGTGGTTTCAGACCCAAGTAGTCTGCCACAAATTCATCATTCCCCACAAATCAGGTATTGTAAGTCAAAATATAAAATGCATTAAACTTGTGCATAATCAAGAGTGGTCGACGGCGCTACTTCACCAATGAGCGGAAGACTTCCTTGTTGGCAATGGGGTTGCGAACGAGGATGCAAGAGACTAATATGGTTTGCGAAAACTCTTGTCCGAAAAACCTATTCAACCTCACAAGTTCTTCCTCAACAATTCACTTCACTCCTATGTAGTGAATTGGTAAGTACTCATCCTGAAAGTAACCCACCATTCCGCCATTATTGAAAACATGCATTTCTGAAATTCGTCCTAGTGTCATGCCGGCGTCTGCTTGCTTTATAAAAGTGTACGATGAGGGTTTGCTTCAAGGGTTACAAAATACACAAGTAAAGGAGGTTGTGGTTAAATTAGAAGTTGATTATAGCTTTTAGGTGCCTTCCTTTAATCCCAAACAGATGGAATTGAGCGTACGGTTCAATGGCCATGCAAGAGAGAAGCATTATTGCAACCTTGAGAAAGCTCCGTTATATTTTTTGCTCCTTACAGTCAGCAAGAGGTTATTAGTTGCATCTTTTTCTTCAAAGGTTATCTCCACAACTGTTGGATTATAGCAAATAGTGGCGGCATGCACGTTGTCTGCAATGACTACGTTGCGGGGTCATAGTGGTGTAGTAGCTCTGATCAGCCATAAAGCGGATGACTGACCAATCTTCAAAATTGGTTCCGAATAATATCCACACGTCGGTGTGTAGTAGCAGTTTCAAGCCCAGGTAGTGTGCCACAAATTCGTTATTCCCCACAAATCAGACATTGTAAGTCATAATATAAAATGTCTTAAAACTATACATAATCGAGAGTAGCCGACAACGCCATTTCATCAATGACCGGAAGACTTCCTTGTTGGCAATGGGGTTGCGAACGGGGATGCAAGATACTAACATGGTTTGCAGAAATTTTTGTCCAAAAAACCTATCTAACCTCACAAATGCATCCTCAACAATCCACTTCACTCCTATGCAATGTTTTTAAACTCGGACCGGCCAGCGAACCAGAGATAGGGACGGTTCACGGTCTAACCGGTCCGCCCGGTCCGACCGCCCGGTTCAACGGTTCAACGTTTTTTTTTTTTTTTTTTTTGCTTCATAGTTCTTTACTCTACAGTCTACACTGAAACTTAACGGCTAATATACAATCTAATATGATTATTAATAACTTAAATCCCTAAAATACATTTACCAATATAACTTAAAATTAAATTTAAGTTGAGATAATAATAAATTTTCTAAAAGTTATACATGTAACCTGGCATGATAAATATAACTAAAATATCATAATTCATCGCAGGTTTTCATAAATTCATTACAAACATAAATAGATATAGTCCAAATGTTCATCAATTATCACAAACAAAAACACAAAAATAAATAAAATAAATGTTGACATTCTTTCACAATTCTCAAAAAGTCCATAACAGAGTTCAACTCATATTCAAAGCAAACAATTTGAATAACAAATTTTCATCATTGGCATGACAAGGCAACAGCACCTCTTTCACAATTTCATCAATTTAACCTGAAAAATTTTAAAGTTTATTACAAAAAATATAAATCTAATTGGTAGAACTAAAAAAAAGTCAAAAAATTTCTAAAAACAAATATACAACCAAACACAAAAAGAATCAATTGCTACTAAACATTACTAATTAATATGTTATATTACCAATCATTATCTTCATCATCATCCAAAAGGCGCCTACGCTGAAATGCTTCCAAATCAATATCATTATCTTCCCCAACTTCACTTTCATCATCTATATAAATAAATAAATGAACAATTAAGAATTTATCCATATTTATAATACAATTCAAATTAAAAAAATGTACTTTTAGCACCATATATTACAAGTTAAAAATATATTTATTTTAATATTGAAACCAACCTTCAACTAGTTGAGAATCATCTTTAGGAAGTTCTTCGAGTTCTTCCTCCAATTCATCACAATTAAGCTCGCCATCTTGTTCTTCTTCTATGACCCAAAATTCCGTTTTATCAATAGATTCATAATCAATGGGATCATAAGATCTCTTTCGGTGATCAAACCTACAATAAAATACATTAGTTACAAATCTAATATTACTTTATAAAATAAAATGTAAAGAATAAAGTAAAAAATCAATTATACCTATGTTGCAAACGCAAATTGTAGTGCACATATACAAGATCATTAAGTCTTTGGTGCTCCAACCTATTCCTTTTTTTAGTGTGAATGCGTTCAAAAATGCTCCAATTACGTTCACACCCAGAAGAAGAAGCAGTTTGACTCAAAATTCTAATTGCAAGCTTTTGCAAATTCGGAGCATCACAACCGTATAACTTCCACCAATTTTCTGTCACAATCATATTAAAATATTAGATCAAATAAAGAATAAAATCACAATTTTTAGACATTAAAAAATATATAAATAACCTGGCCGATCAGATTTGCTAGTAAGAATAGCAAGTTTGCGCCCAAAACTCCATTGTCTTTCCCGATACATTCCAATCTCTTGCGATAATTTTTCAGGGTTGCACCAATCCACTTTTGTTTCAATATAATCAAGCAAGCCATTTATAACCTCTGGATGTGTACAAAATGTGGCACTCTCATATTGAAAAGCAGGATTCAAATAATAAGCGGCAGCATGTAGATTTTTTCTCAACATTCTATCCCACCTATCACTGATGATGTCAATATAAGGCTTGTACAATCTCTCTTTATTTCTAAACAGCCTTTTGATGCCATTTATTGCTCTAAACATGCCTTCATAAAGATAACCCAATGAAGGCCTTTCATCAGTGTCACAAATACGCAATAAACGAATGATAGGACCCATTATTCTCACCATAATCAAACAGTTATTCCAAAACCTTTCATCCAAAACGATTTGCTTCACATCTTTTCCTTTTTCTATTCTCAGAAATTGTTTGTAATCCCCACTAGTAACCAAAGATTGCAAACTATCCTTATGATCATGCAAACTTTTTAATGCAATAAAGGTAGTTGCAAATCGAGTTTCACCTGGACGAATAATTTCTTTCCACCCTGTAGTCTTTCTTAACCAATTCAAAGTGAACTTATGATTGTAAATAAAAACAGTCACCGTTGAAACAAGAGACACTATAGCTTTTACATCATTCATTTCACCAATGTCTTTCAAAATCAAATTGATGCAGTGTGCAGTACACGGTGACCAACAAATATTCGGATATCTTTCACTTAACAAAGACCCAGCAACTTTATAATTGCTAGCATTATCAGTAACTAAGTGCACAACATTATTTGAACCAACCATCTCAACAATTTCAGCAAATAAATTGCACAAATTTTCTGCACTTGTTACAATATCATATGCATCCACAGATTTAATGAACGAAATACCCTTAGGACAATAAACCAAAAAATTAATCAATGGTCTTTGTCTAGTGTCTTTTCATCCATCACCCATTATAGTGCAACCAGTTTCTGTCCAAGTACTTCTAAAAGAATCAACAACCAATTTCACATCTCTCTTGGCATTTCGCAACAAATTAACTCTCAAAGAATGATAGGATGGACTTTTGTAACCATGACCCATTGATGCTATTTGATCAATAGTTTTTTGAAAAAATGGAGAATTAACAGCATTTATAGGAATGCAAGTATCATAAAACCAAAGAGCAATAGCCATGTCCGTATTTTTCCATTTTTCCTTACTTTGCAAACAAGCTTTAATGGTTGGTTGAGAAGTATCACATCCACCTTTAAAAAAAGCACGAATACCTGTTGATGCAGTGACCTTTCTCTTTTCTTTACTAGATGAACCCATCTTATTTGCTAAAGAAGAATGAATCTCCAAAACTTCATCGCCATCAAATGAATGAGTAGTGTGGCCGAATGGATTTTCCACCCCAAAATCACCTTTTTTTTTCTTTAGATTTCTGCTCCTTCTCCTTCATAGATGCTAAAATAGCATGTCTAACTGCCGGGTCAACCTTTGAACATGGAACAATGCTGCCTTGTTCTCCTGCCAAATGTTGTTTCATTCGATGAATGCCACCACCAGCAATTACTTTAAAACAATACCCGCATGTCAAAGTTCTTCTTCCTTGACTATTCACACCTACTGAACAATATTTCCATGCTATATCAGACTTTTGTCTATGATTTTGACTAGCTGATTGTTCACTATTGACAGCTCCAGTAGTCGAAGATTGTGAATTACTACCCGTATCAGTACCAGTATCCATTATCCTTCACATAGTTAATTCAAACACATAATTAGTTCATTTGTAAAATATAGTGTACTAATAAGAAAATAAAATTAACAAATTTTCAGTAATATAAGAAGATCAATTAGTCACATGAATAGCTCAACTGTTAGCATTTAATTTTTTCATTTACAAAAAAAAAAGATATAGTTATCACAGTAGAGGGATTTTAATGGTTCTTAGTAGCACAAAACTCATGGCTATTAATGGTTCTTAGTAGCACAAAACTAGTTAATTTAAACACAGGAATCTTTCTTTTTGTTTTCCTAAGAAACAAAGAAATAACAAGAAGGATATATACTAATAGTGAGACAATTATGTACCTAGTCAATTTATATACAGCGTGTGTTATACTGTTATTGTCTAGGTAATTTGAACAAACAATAGATAAAGGAAACAGAAAAGTTAGCAAAGACGTAAATTGCTCAAACAAGTTACCATAGGCAATTTTTTTTGGGTTTGACAATTAAAATGATTTCCACTAATTCGTTAAAGAACACTGATTCGAAGAAAATGACTCCTAAAAATAGTGAATTTTTCTATATTCAACCGAAGAAGGAAATCAACTGTAAAAAATGCTATCATTTATAAGTCATAAACAAATGCAGCTCTTACAAAAACTAAAATGTTTCTTCTTGAATAACATGTCTCTGGATACGTGGCAATGGGTAAAAAATGTCATGATTATTTCAAAGTCAGACATATCTCTGTATTTTCAAGAAAATTATTCGTTAATTAATATGAAATATTAATCCCAAATTATTAATAAATCTCTATTTTTATCCTCAAATTATAATAATTTTAATTTTAGAATCAACCCAATCAAGTAGGGGTAAGGGCTAAATTCTTGGTTGCTATCAACAATTTGTAGCAACAAAAAATTTACACCCTCAAACTATGAATAATTTGATGAAACAATTGATCAATATAAGAATAGTAAGAAGAAACAATCGGCATCACAGCAATAATCCAACATACCTGTTCTATGAAAAACAATAAAAGGCAAAAATTAAACTTACCAAGATGGAAAAGCTCTGGAGTTTGGTCCACAGAAAATAGCGTGATGATCTTGTCTTGAATATTTGGATGTGAAAGGATTATGAAGAAAAAATTTAAAAAAAAATCAAGATGAGAACTGGAGGAACCGAAAGGGAGAAACGGAGGAAGTGAAATTGAAATGAAATGTGCCTGTGCCATCTGCACTTTCTTAATGCTAGGGTTTTTTTATTTTATTTGATTTTAGTTTTTAGTTAAGTAAAATTTCACGCAACAATAGCTTGTCCTTCGGCTGTGGTTCAGTGGTTTACGTGCCTTATTCTGGTCTTGGAGACCTATGTTTGAATCTCAACAACCTCCACTCTTGCTATTATTTTGAATTTGAGGGAAAATCTGAGAACCGCCGGTTCGCGGTTTATGCGGGTTTTAACGGTTCGTATGGTTCGGCCGGTTCATAGCGGTTTTCCATTACCTTCCGGGTTTGATATTAGACCGGACCGGTGACATGGCCGGTTTGCGGTCGGACCGATCGAACTGGCCGGTCCGGTCCGGTTCTGAAAACATTGCTCCTATGTGATGAAGTGGTAAGTGTTCATCCTGAAAGTAGTCCACCATTCCGCCATTATTAAGGACATGCATTTTTGAAATTCATTCTAGTGTCATACCGGCGTCTCTAACTTTATAAAAGTGCAAAAGAATGGTGGATTCATAGGTTACAAAATATGTAAGAAAAGGAAATTACGATTGAATTAGAAATTGATTGTAACTTTCCGGTGCTTTCCTTTAATCCAAAACAGATGGAATTGAACTTGCGGTTCAATGGCCATACAAGAAAGAAGGATTAATGGTGACAATCATAGTGACGATCTTGAAAAAACTCCGGTATTTTTTGTACCTCACAGTCAGTAGGAGGCTATCAGTTGCATCTCTTTTTTCAAAGATTATACCATAGCTGTTAGATTCCAATAAATAGTGGCGGTATGCACGTTATCTGCAATGGCTACGTTGCGAGTTATAATGGCGTGGTAGTTCTGATCAGCCATAAAGTGGGTGACTGACCAATTTTGAAAGTTGGCTCCAAACAGTATCTACACTTCTGTGTGTAGCAGTGATTTCAAGCCCAAGTAGTGTGCCACAAATTCATCTTTTCCCACAAATCAGGCATTGTAAGTCATAATACAAAATATTTAAGGTTGTGCATAATCGAAAGTGGCCGACTGCACCATTTCGTCAATGACCGGAAGACTTCCTTGTTGGCAATGTGGTTGCGAACAAGAATGCAAGAGACCAACATGATTTGCGAAAACTCTTGTCCGAAAAACCTATCCAACCTCACAAGTTCTTCCTTAACAATCCACTTCACTCCTATGTGGTAAAATGGTAAGTGCTTATTTTAAAAGTAACCCACCATTCCGCTATTATTGAGGACATGTATTTGTGAAATTCGTCGTAGCACCATGCCGGCGTCTGCTTGCTTTATAAAAGTGCAAGAAGAGGGTTTGTTTCATGAGTTACAAAATGCAGAAGAAAAAGAAGTTGCGATTGAATTAGAAGTTGATTGTAACTTTCAGATATTTTCCTTTAATCCCAAACAGATAGAACTGAACTTGTGGTTCAAAGGTCATGCAAGAGAGAAGGATTAATGGTGGCAATCATGATAGGGATCTTGAGAAAACTTCGGTATTTTTGCACCTCACAGTCAGCAGGAAGCTATCAATTGCATCTCTTTCTTCAAAAGTTATATCCATAGCGATTGGATTCCAGCAAATAGTGGCGGTATGCACGTTGTCTACAATGGCTACGTTGCGGGTCATAATAGCGTGGTAACCCTAATCAGCCATAAAGCGGGTGACTGACCAATTTTCAAAATTGGTTTCGAACAGTATCCATACGTCGGTGTGCAGCAGCAGTTTCTAGCCTATGTAGTGTGTCATAAATTCATCATTCCCCACAATTCAGATATTGTAAATCATAATATAAAACGTCTTAAGGTTGTGCATAATCGGGAGTGGTCAAATGCGCCATTTCACCAATGAGCAGAAGACTTCTTTCTTGGCAATGGGATTGCGAATGGGGATACAAGTGACCAACATGGTTTGCGAAAACTTTTATCCGAAAAATCTATCCAACCTTATAAGTTCTACCTCAACAATTCACTTCAATCCTAAGTGGTGAAGTGGTAAAGTGTTTATCTTGAAACTAACCCACCATTCCACCATTATTGAGGAAATGCATTTTTGAAATTCGTCCTAATGCCATGTCGGTGTCTTTAGCTTTATAAAAGTGCAAGAGGATGGTTTGCTTCATGAGTTAGAAAATATGCAAGGAAAGGAAGCGGTTGAATTAGAAATTGATTGTAACTTTCAGATGTTTTTCTTTAATCCCAAACAGATGGAATTGATCATACGGTTCAATGGTCATGCAAAAGAGAACGATTAATAGTGGCGATCATGGTGGCGGTCTTGAAAAAGCACCAGCATTTTTTGCGCCTCACAATTAGCAGGAGGCTACCAGTTGCATCTCTTTCTTCAAAGGTTATATCTACAACTGTTGGATTCCAGCAAATAGTGGCAGTATGCAAGTTGTCTGCAATGGCTACGTTACGAGTCATAATGGCGGGTTAGCCCTGATCAGCCACAAGATGGGTGACTGACCAATCTTCAAAATTGACTCCGAACAGTATCACACGTTGATGTGCAGCAGCGGTTTCAAACCCAAGTAGTGTGTCACAAATTGATCCTTCTCCACAAATCAGGTATTGTAAATCAAAATATAAAATTCGTTAATCTTGTATATAATCGGGAGTGGTCGACGGCGCTACTTCACCAATGAGCGGAAAACCTCCTTGTTGGCAATGAGGTTGCGAACGGGAATGCAAGAGATCAATATGGTTTGCGAAAACTCTTGTCCGAGAAACCTATCTAACCTCACAAGTTCTTCCTCAACAATTCACTTCACTCCTATGTAGTGAATTGGTAAGTACTCATCCTGAAAGTAACCCACCATTCTAGCATTATTGAGAACATGCATTTCTGAAACTCATCCTAGTACCATGCCGGCGTCTGCTTGCTTTATAAAAGTGCAAGAGGAGAGTTTGATTCATGATTACAAAATATACAAGAAAAGGAAGTTGCGGTTGAGTTAAAAGTTGACTGTAGTTTTCAGGTGCTTTCCTTTAATTCTAAGCAGATGGAACTGAACTTGTGATTCAAAAGCCATGCAAAATAGAAGAATGAATGGTGGCAGCCATAATGGGGATCTTGAGAAAGCTCCGGTATTTTTTGCGCCTCACAGTCAGCAGGAGGCTATCAGTTGCGTCTCTTTCTTCAAAAATTATATCTACAACTGTTGGATTCCAGCAAATTGTGGCAGTATGCACGTTGTCTGCAATGGCTACGTTGCGGGTCATAGTGGCGTGGTAATCCTGATAAGCCATAAAGCGGGTAACTGACATATCTTTAAATTTGTCTCCGAACAGTATCCACACGTCGGTGTGCAGCAGCGATTTTAGGCATATGTAGTGTGTCACAAATTCATCCTTTCCCACAATTTAGGTATTATAAGCTATAATATAAAATATCTTAAGGTTATGCATAATCGGAGTAGCCGAAAGTGCCATTTTACCAATGGCCGAAAGATTTTTTTGTTGGTAATGTGATTGCGAATGGGGATGCAGGTGACCAACATGGTTTGTGGAAACTCTTGTCCGAAAAATTTATCAAATCTTACAAGTTCTACCTCAACAATCCACTTCAATCCTAAGTGGTGAAGTGGTAAATGCTTATTTTGAAACTAATCCGCCATTCCGTCATTATTAAGGACATGCATTTTTGAAATTCGTCCTAATGCCATGTCGATGTCTCTGATTTTATAAAAGTTCAAGAGAATAGTTTGCTTCATAAGTTACAAAATATGCAAGAAAAGGAAATGGTTGAATTAGAAGTTGATTGTACCTTTCAGGTGTTTTCCTTTAATCCCAAACA